CATGTCCTGTAGTGACGACAGGGATAATTTGGGAGGTGCGGCGGGGGCTTTCCAAGGTTAAGCCCCTCGGCTGCAGCTGTGGGTGCTGCAGGGATGCTGGGAAGCAGATCCAGGCTGGTGGGTGGCTGGCGCTTAGCCTTAAAGGCTGGTGTCCCCTGCATGGTGTCAGCCAGCTCTGCCCTCCTATCACCCTGCCTCAGGACAAGCACAGGGCAAAATCTATTTTCTACATTCAGAAATACCATTTTTGGGTTTTTTTGGGTGCTAGTACACAGTTGGTTTGAACTCCACACGCTCGCTGCCAGCCCTGGGCTAGCTGGCAGCCACTGTGGCTAACTCGGTGCCGTGGCATTGCTGGCAGCTTGCAGGGCTTATCAGGGCATCATCAGGATCCGTCCCCGCTGCGGCGTGGGTGTCGAGCAGCATCGAGACTCCCTGTTCCAGGGCAGGAGGGAGGCCATCTACTGATTGGGCTCCAGGGAGAAGCAAATTGGAGCCAAGCTCCACCGCTGCGGCACGCCAGGGATGCGGGAGCGTGCCCCGCTTTGGGGGGGGGGAGCTGGCCCATGGCCCTGGGTGCGGGGCTCTGCACCAGCCCTGCCTGCCCTCCTGGAGCAGGGGTCACTTAATGACTCTGATTACCCGCAGCATGGCTGTATTTAAAGCAATTAGCGCAAATCACTTATGGAAATGCAGCCGCTGGGGGACGGAGAGGAGAAGAGGACGAGGCTGGGGGGCACAGTGCTTTTTTTTTTCCTCCTTTTTCTGTCTGCCGTGCGCTTGATGCTCAGTACGCGTGATCCTTTGCCCTCGCTCCCCGGAGACCTTTCTGGATCGCCTCTGGTCCCAGTCTCTTGCTGCACACCCCTTGGAGGTGCCTCCCAGCCCTGCAAGAGCCGTTTTTGCCGCCAGCCCGGCGAAGGCTATGCCTTGGGTGGCCGGCATCCATCCTAGCCATGCTCCAGCTTTGCGGCTGGAGATGCTCAGCGCCTTTGCCTCTGGATTCAGCGTCCTCAAAGTTCATTTAATTTGGTAGTGTTGCGCCTTGCTGGCAAGCGTCCGGATTTCGTAGGGCGACCTTCATCCATCCCTCGGGGTCCTGGAGCACCGAGGGAGAAGGGAGGGAGGGGAAGGTGTGGGAGGGAGCGGGGCTTGCGTGGGGGTGTATCGCTACGTGTAGGTCCCTACCGGGTCACAGCACCGCCGGGGAGGCTGCCCTGTGGGGTACCACCCCTGTGGGGTGGCATGGACCCCCAAAACCGGGGGCATTTCCAGCCTTGGCACCTCCGGCGCCGAGTGGTACCTGCACTGGGAAGGGGAAGATGCTCGTGGGGAGGCTGGCCCGCCTCGGAGTCGGGGTTTGGTCCGTGGGGCAGAGTGGAGGACAAAGGGAGGAAAGAGAAACTCAGCGCTGTGGGAAGGCAGGCTGTGTCCAGAGAAGAAAAGGTGGAAATTCCTGGCGGTGAGAAAGGAAGAAACCGGCTGTGGCAGCTCGGGGTCCCATGGTATTTACATGCCAGGGAGCACGGGAGGGCAGGAGGGTGCCCAACAACGTTAGGAAGCTCCTGAAGGCTTCCCACCTTGCCGTCGATGGGAATGGGAGCGGGAGGGAAGAGGCTTTGTGTTTTTAGGGGTTTCCTTCCGCTGGAGCATGGGGTGTTTCCCCCCCGCGGCGCGGGCAGGGAGCAGTGAGGCCAGGTGAAGGCAGGCACCGAAAATCAGCACCCCCTAGAAAAAAAAAAACCAAACCAAGAAACCCTTCCCAGCTTTAATCAGATCTCATTCTTTTTTTGCTCTCTGTAAAAAGCAGGCACGAAGTGCTAGGAGCCCAGCTGGCTTCAGGGGTTTAGAGGGGAAGGAATAAAACTAATCAAGGTAATTGCTAAAATCCTTCTGCAACCGGATGGAGACCAGGCTGCGATGGGAAAGCCAAGCTCTGGTCTCGGGTACCTGCTCTCCCACCCGCTCCTGGCTGCTGGGATTAAAGCATCACGGAGGCAAGGGGATGGGGAAGCCTCGTCCCCTAAGCCAGTCTTGCTGATTGATTGGGATTTTTTAGTCTTTAATAGGGATATTGCTGAAAGAGGGGGGAGAGAAAAGTCTTAATATTTTATACTTGGCGTTGGAAGGGATGATTTGGGGTTTTTTCCTTAAATCTTTTTCTATCCCTGTTCTCTCCCTCTTTTTTTTCCTTCCGTTTGTCCCTCACTGTCGCAGTAAAATGAGGAGGGAAGAAAAGGGCAGAGAAAGGACGATGAAAAGCAGAATATTTCCAGCCTCCATTTGTGGTGGGTTTTGGTTTGGTTTTGTTGTGGTTTTTTTTTTATCATAGCAACAAATCTGAAAGATTAAGGGCAACTTTAAAGGCTGTTTAATAAAGGGGCCTTAATCAGCTGCTCTTGTGATGTTCCTCCCCCGGCTGAATTAATGGGGGAATTTGGGGCATCGAACGGACCTTGTCTTTTCTTGGGTTTGTTATGATTAAAAAAAAATAATGCAGTGATGAAAATGATTTTAAGAAGGACGCAGCTTTGCGCACCGCGAGCACCTTGCTGCGTTGCATTTGGACGCCCCGGTGGGGTGGGAGGTAACCCCGGCCGGTGGGTTTGGCGGTGGGCGCCCCGGCTGGGGGTGCCGGGGGTGCTGGGGAGCGGGTGCTGCTCCCAGCCCACGCCTGCCGCCGAGCGAGCTGCGGGAGAAGAGTGGGAAAAGCGTGGGGGAAAGTAGGGCAGCGTCTGGCGAGGGGCCTGCGGAGAGGCTGGCTGGGGGCGGCGGGGAGCATCCTTCCAGCCTGCTTTGGCTTCCCGGGGCTTGCGCGAGCTGCCGGGGAGGAGGGGGTGGGTTGAGAGAAAGACAAAAACGATAGGGGGGGGTGTGTGGAATGAAAGCTTTCTCCTTTTCTACTGCTTTTTCCCCTTCTTTGCAACCAGCCTTGAACTTTTGGCTTCACCTCCTTGGGCTCACGCCATCCCTCGCTTCCCCACATCGGCTTCCTTGGGGTGGGACGTGCATCGCCCTCCTTCCCTGGATTTGGGGAGAATCCAGAACCATCAAACTTTGCGAGCTGCTTTTAGAGGGCACGGCCACGTTGTCCCCCCTTGATATTTGGTGTCTGGATGCTCAGAGGGTGAAACCCCCTCCCCTCCAGCTCATGGCCACTGTCATCCAGGGAGGGATGCTCGGAGCTGGGATGCCCGCTGGGCAGCAGAGCATCCTCCTCTTCCCGAGGAGCACCGAGCGGTTCCCAGTCCTGCTTGCCCCCGGTTTAAAGTTGCTTTTCGTGCCTGAAGCCAAGGCGGTCGCCTCCAGTTTTGCACGTTGAGAGGGGAAAAAAAACAAAAACCCAACCAAACCCAACCAAAAAACCATTGCAAAAGAGCCGCCTGGAAATTGTACTCTCAAGGGGAGTGCTGGGGAATTTACATTTTTAAATATGTATGTAATTTGGGCGAAGGGGAAATGGCTTGCTGTCTGTGAAAGCGTCAACTTTCTTTCTCACGGAGTTAGCATTTTAAAGCTGCATTGCTCATGCGAACAGGAGCCCCTTCTTATTTTTCCAGGGAGAGATTGCATCTTGCCCTTGATTTACTGCCGTTTGAATGATAATTAATAATTCCTTGGACTTTCTGGCGTTAACCGGGGCAACAAGTCCCTGTTTGGTCCCTGTTTTCTTTTCCCTTCTCTCTTTTTCTTGTCGGAATTATTATTCTTTTCACAACAGAAACACAGTACACGCCGCACATGTGAATAAACAGCATCTTACCGCATGACCCGCTGCTGGCTTTTTTTTTTTTCTTTTATGAGCCAAAGCAAATATATAAAAGTCCGTATAATGATGATATCCATTAAAAATAACGCTGTAGCTCGGTAAACAGAGCTGACGATACAAGAGTCCCGCGACAACGGCATTAAAATAGCACAAAGAAAAGGGTCCGTGCCCATAACAAGAACCAGCGCTAGATGAAATTTGGAGATAGTTTTCAAGCGTAACCGCTTCCCCGAAGGAAATGTCTGAGATGGCACAAAAGCAGCGAGCACAATAGAGTGTAACGGGGATTTGCTACGTAATTCCACCTCTTTTTCCCCTTCTTTCTTTCTTTCTTTCTTTCTTTTTAATTCCTTCTCCCTTCCGTGGGTATTCACAGGGATTCGCGAGGCTCACAGCTCTGCTCTGTTAAAACCAGAAAGAAGGAACGATTTACTCCAAGCTGCCCGCGCCGTGTGGTAAATTTATATCCTGAAAAATGAAGAGGTTCGTGCCATAAGGGATCTCAGATGTTTACACTTCTCAGGAGGCATCGCCTTTGATTATCATAATCATAAAGATAAACAAAAGAGTAGCGGCTCCATAAATACCCCAGCATAATGCATAATCAGCAAGATAAATCTCTCTCCTCCGAAATCCCAGCCCGGGAAGTTGCTGGCAGAGCCTGGGTGTCTCTTGCTGTGGGGTGGTCGGGGTTTGGCTGGGACCCTCTCAGCCCCCCGGGGATGTGGGGATGTTCTCGTGGGATGCACAGGGATGCTCTCGTGGGATGCACAGGGATGCTCTGGCATGGTGTGAGGGCACCCTGCTTTTAGTTTTGCTCTTGGGCTGCTTGGCAAAAGCCTGACCTGGGGATTTAGCTAAAGAGATGATTTATTTTCTTTTGGTCAGGTGAAGTGGTTTGTGATCGATAAGGCTGTTGCGTGGAAAACACCCTTGGTGCTGCCCCGGCTCCTTCTTCCCACACTTTTCTCAGCACAGACTTTGCTTTCTGGGCTTTCCCCCCCCCCCCACTCCCTGTCCCCCCCCGGTTTAATAAAGGGAGCGAGGGAGGCCAGCTACAGGCTTTTCATTTGGCTGGGAGAGGAATCTGCTTATTTTTTTTCCAAGGGTGTAATTAGGGCTGGCTGGGCGCACCCCCTCATTACCCGTGCTGGGGAGGAATGCTCTCTAATTATAACATTTGCCTGCCGCCGGGCAGGGGGTTGTCTGCTAACCTGTCTGGGATGCTGCCATGAAACGCCGTCCTGGTGTCTGTCCGTCTCTGGTGTCCCTTGTCCCGGCTGGGTGGGCTCCAGGAGGAGCTGGAGGTGACGGGATGGAGGGAGCGGGGCTTGCTCATGGCTGGATTTACCCCAGGGGATGATGCCAAGTTTGGCAGGATGGGATGCGAAGGGACCGTAAAACTCCCAGGAAAGGGCAATCGAGGGAGAAAAATGAGCTGGTTTGGGAAAAAGATGAGGTGGTTCTTTCCAAATTCGGTTTTATTAAGAAAAGGTCGGTGAGAGTAGAGAGGCTCTGTGGTGTTGCACAGAGGGGGACCAAGGGGGTTTGCAGCTGGCGGTGCCACAGGGACAGCATGTCGGTCTGTCTGTGCTGTCCCTGAGTCCTGCTCCATATCGGGGGGGTCCCCCCAAACTCAGCCCATGCGGCCAGGCTTGCAAGGTGTTTTCCCGGCTGGTGGGAGCAGAAGGGTTGGGCTCTGCTTTTTGGGGGTGTCAGAGAGTCAGACCCTATAAATGCACGACCCCCAGGTAGAGCAGCCCCCTCTGCTGAGCCCACACACCGCTGGTAGGGAGGGTTGAGCACGGCGGCGTGCTGAGGGCTGTGGGTTTTGTGGTCCCACCTTTCCTTGGGGGAGGCGTCAGACGCCACGGGGATGGGCACCCCATGGGCGCATCAGCGGCTGGACGTTCCCGGGGGCTTTTTGATCTGGAAACCCAACCTTGCACCAGGCTGGAGATGAGGTGCTGGATACTGGTGTTTCTCCTTTCCCTGTGCTCCCCAGCTGTACCCCGTGCTCGGTTTTTGGCCTCCTGAGGCTGGGTCTTGAGGGCAGCTCATGTCCCTCTCATCCTCGTCCTCCTGGTCCTCAGGCAGAGGGAGATGCTAACGAGCGCTGTGCTGAGTTAACGAGGCGGGGGGGGGGGATCAGTCAGCGTGGGGCGGTGCACGAAATTGCATGGGCTCTGTGCGAGGAGGCAGCAGGGAGGGAGCTGGGGAGGAGGCTTCACCCAGGGCAAGCGGCTTCAGATCTTCCAAACCCATCCTCAGCAATGCTCTTTATTTTGGGGCATCGGATGCGTCCCCGGAGAAGGGGGTTTGGGCTGTGGCTTTGCATGGCACTGCGCTGCCTCGTGGTGGCTTTGCCTTTGAAGATGCCATGAGCTGCTGGCACCAACTTGGTGATGGGGCTTCGTGTTGGGAGAGCGCAGTGGCGTGTGGGAGGCTGAATTTGTGGGATGGGGAGGAGGAGGGGATGCTCAGGGAGGAGAGGATGCTCAAGGGCGCTTTTAGGAGGGAGAGCTTGGCTATGTTTTCCTGCTGGACCCAAAATTACCCCAGGAGGGCACTCTGCAATGGGAAGCCCTTGGGAACAGGGCAGCCCCAGATCAGTGATGCTGAATCCCCCTGAGCCTCTGGGATGGGCTGAAATGTGGTGGGATGAGGTCTGCATCCCAAGCGATGACGCTCTCGTGGGCGGCGATGCCTCCGCACCCCTCTGGGGCTTGCAGCGGGGATGTCCTTGGTCCAGCAGGCATCCTGGCCTGGGAGTGAGCCGTGCCGTGGCTCTGGCACCACAATTTGCTGGAGCTTAAATGGCAACGGCACTAATCCCTAAATGAGTCTGTTCATATGTTTTCCTTGGAGATTTGAGATGGGGGGAGAACCCCACACCAGCCTTTCAGACACCTCCTCAGGCCACGGCCGGAGCATCCCCACCGGCCCAGCCTCCGGAGCCGGGGGGTTGGGAAGGCAGGCGGCTCTCCTCCTCCGGCGCTGGAGATAAGCTGTCATTTTTTTTTTCTTTTTCCATTTCTACGGGAGGATTTCGGGAACGGGTTTAACTGTTGCCTCTCAGGCCTTCGCACGAAATAGCGCTCGCCCCAAGAGGGGTGTGAATGAGGGGGAGGTGGAGGCAGAAGGGGTTAAGCCCCCACCGCCGCTGAGATTTAGCCAGAGAAACCCAGCCTGCGGAGAAACCCAGGCATCCTGGTTTAATCCTTCCATCACATTCCTGCCTGCCCGGTGCTGCGGGGAGGGATGCGTGGCCATGGGTGATGGGCACCAGGCTTCGCTGCCGCTAATGCTCCTGTAATCTTCCAAATATTTGGAGGGATAACAATTGCAGGAGAGAGGATTTTAACGCTTTCCTGTGGAGGTTTGCTCAGCCGTTGCTGCAAGGGGAATTGCTTTCTGGGCTCATCATCCCTCGTGCCACGTGTTTGGGGTGATGGGCGGGGGGGTGATGCTCGACCCCGGCTCCGGCGCTGCTCCCTGTGCAGGCTGGTGGTGTTGGTTGGTTGGGGTCATCGATCTTCAACCAAGTTGTGAGCGCTGGCTGCAAACATCTGCAGGTCACCCCCCGGGGAACAGATGCTGCGGATAATCCAGCTCAGCCCCATCAGATTAAAATCTGCGATGAGGGACGGGGGAAGAGGAAAGAAGTCGGCGGTGCCTGTTCCCCTCCTCCCTCTTCTTGCTGCTCCGACCGCACTCATCCTTGGGACTTCAGGGTTTGGTCCCATGGGTCGAGCCCGGAGCTACCCCCTCTCCTCCCCAAAATACTGAAGTTTGTGCTCCAGCCCATCCCACAGCACGTCGCACCGCAGCGCCCGATCGCGTGCCCCGAGTAGTGTGAGACCGTGGGCTGGAGACAGGCTGGGACTTCTGAAAAAAAAAAAACAAAAAAAAAAACCCAAACAAATCCCAAAAGGGAGCTGGGAAGCAGGCACCCACCTCCAGCAGGAAGGAGGGAAGCCGGCAGATGGGAACCCCCCGTAGACGTCTGCCAGGGAGATGATGATTACAGTCAGCGTAGCGCACTCTCAAATATTTATTAGTTTGTCACTGCTGGGAGTTTTATTGCTCGCCTGATTGCGGTACTGGAAACCCCGGCTGCGCAGGGCTCCTTCCCTGGCTTCGCATGCAAAAGTGTCTCGCTTGCCCGTGCTGCTCCTGCCGTCAAGAGGCCAGATCGGCGCCCGGGCTGGGATCAGAGCAGCGCTGGGCAAGGCAGAAAGTGCCCTCTGTGCACGCGTGGTTAAAGCATCTGGTCCCCAGGGTGATGCTTACGGCCTTGCAAGCACCCGGGCGAACCCTCCTGCTGACAAGGTCTTCACCGGTATGAAAACCTCCAGAGTGTCCCAGTGCATCCCCCCAACCTGAGTGTGGCTGCCCAGCCGGGGGTAACGCAACCGTAACACAATAATGTTATGCCAGACCATTGCAGGGGAAGGTTGTCCTAGCAGGGGATACCCTCTCCCCACTTTATGAGGCCATTTATTGGTGTCCTTATTACGCTGGAGCAGACCAAAACCTTTCCCCAACCTCTCCATCCTCTGTGGGAAGGAACGCATGGAGGTGCTGGTGTTGCACCCCTGGGAAGATGCTTTTTTTTTTCTTTTTCTTTGGAATATTGCAGTCACTGCTGGAGGGTTGGGGCAGCTGGGAGCAGCAGCTGATGGCTTATGATAAATGTGCCCAGCATGGTTCTCCTCCCTTTTCTCATCCAAAAGTCCCTGTTGTTCCTCTGCCTTAATTCTTTCCCAGTGCATTTAAATACCAGCGGCCGTATCGTGCTGGAGCCAAATACCCTGCCCAGCTGCAAATGCTTTTCTCCGGCCACGTAGGGCTGGTTTCTGGATGGAGCCATTGGCCACCCCCTTGCTTTGCTCCCATCCATGAGCAGGCAGGAGCCGGGGGGAGCTGAGGGGTTGGGGCTTTGCGGCACGGCCCCGGTTACGAGTCTGCCACGAAAAACCCATCATCTTATCCCCCGTCTCCTCTTCGAGCTGCTTTTTTGGTCCGAGATGTCCCTTGGTCCGAAATAAAAGAGAGCTCAGCTGTTGTGAGTTTGCAGGATTTAAACTTTCCCAGCAGCCAGGATGCTCCTAGCTTTAAAGGTTCGGGTTTTGGGGGTTCAAATGTTAAACCGAGCGGGTTTTTATAGCCACCGAAAGCAGATGATGGAGCTGGCCCGGGGCTGGGACAACCGCCCTGTTCCACCACCCTCATCCCCAAACTCACTGTGCCCCCTTGGAGAAGACACCTGAAGCATTGAGCTCGACCTCCCCCCCCCCTCCCCCCAGCACGGATTTGGGCAGACCCCCTCTCAGGGCGGGGGGCTGGATGGCCCCCATTGATGGGGGGACCGGTGGGTTTTTGGTACTGCAGGTGGAGTTTCAGCCCTCAACCCCATGCTGGGGGACCGAGGTGGTCCCCACGGCAGCCCAGAGCATGCAGGTGATGATGGGCGAGTCACAAATCTGTGATTTTCATCCCTGTTGGGCCGTGACTCACCCCCCCAACCCCAGCTCCCAGAGCCTCTCGGGTGACCTGAAGTCTCGTTTAGCGTCGCCAAAGTGGCAGTGGGGTGGTCGAAGATGTGTGGTGGGTGCTGGCTGCTGGAGGAGGCCCTCTCCTTGCCCGTGGCTTTGGGTCAGGGGATGCGTGCGCTTCAGGGTGTCACCTGGCAAGCCCCAAAGGGGAAGGTCCTTCCAAAAACCACCTTCTTTGGGGGTGTCGGATCCTCTTGGGTCACCCTTATGGTGCTGGGTGGGCTGCAGGACCCCTCGCCTGCATTCTGGGGGGGGTTACACCTGGCTCAGAGAGGAAATAAAAAAACAGGGAGAAAGAAAAAAAGCAGAGGAAAAACTTAACAGGGAGCTTCATAACTGTGTTTCAGGCAGGGCCAATATATCTCAGGTTTGTTATCATCTCTGCCGCTGCCCTCGGTGCCGCCTGGGAGAGGCTGACGCTGGCCCGGGGCAGGGCTGGCGGCGGAGGGGAGCTCCAAATGGGCTTCAAGGGTTTACATCCTTTAGAGCAAACCTGCTGGCCCTTGGAGCTGTCAGACAAAGCTGGGGAGCCCCCCCTGCCCATGCTCTGGGACGGGTGGCGAGCCAACCCCCCCACCTCGGTGGGCATCGCCCGTTCCCGGCAGCCGAGCCCGGGTCTGACCGCACGCCGCAGGGATGCGGAGGGTGCTGCTTCAGCGAGGTTTTCACACGAGCCCGCGACTGAAGTTTTGTTGGCTGCCTCCCTTGCCAGCTGAATTCTCTCCTGCCAGCCCCCTTTGCCAGGGAATTTAGGTTTGCAGCGTCAAAAGCGGTTTTTAAAAACAACAAAAAAAAAAAAAACCAAAAAAAAAAGCCAACAACCAACAAAGCAACAACTCAGTAGATGCAAAATTGGAATAGTGAATTTAAAAAGGGGAAAAAAAAAAAAAAAAAAGAGGGGCGCTGGGAAAATTGCAGGTCTGCAAATGAGATGGGGGAGGAAATGGCCGGCGGTGGAGAGGTGGGGAAGAACCAGGCGGAGAGAGAGAAATTAGCCTGGAGTTTAATTCATTGTTTCCAAAAGAGCAGTTAATGGATTATGACAAATGTCCTACCGCTCTCCCTTAGTGCTGTGTTAAATGGAAATGGAAAGTCAATTTTCCTAAATGGATTTTAAACGACTGACCTCGTGTGTTTGGTTTGGTTTTTATTTTTTTCCCCCTCGCTGATTTTTGCTCGGGAGGCAGCTTGGTCATCTTGTTTGCTTGACACATCTGATTTTTTTTTTTCTTCTTCTTCTTCTTCTCCTTGCATCTCGGGGTCCTCTGATCCTCTCCGTGTGCCGCGCTGCTCCTTGCCAAGGGTGACGAAGGGAGTGGGCTCCTTGCTTCCTTGCCAGCTCCGGAGATGCTATCACGGGGCTGGGGATATTTACTGTTTTCCTGCACGCTGCAGTGCCTGGAGTTGAGAATCACAGCTCTCGCTGGGGGAAGAGAGGAGGAGGAAAAGCTCATAACTCTTTTAGGTGTTAAAAAAAAAAACCAAACCCACAAACCAAAGCCTCGTGATGTGACCTGACTGCTAGCGAGATGCCCAGAAACCGCAGGTTACGCAGTAGCATCCCAGTCCGTGTATGTGTTTTATCCATCCAGCAATGTTTGGGGTTGATCTTGATGGGCAAAATGGTTGGAAGCAGGTTTCCTCTGTTGGATGCTGCAGATGCTCCTCAGCGTCAGTCGCAGCATCTTCTCAAGCCGGTGCTGGGCATGAGCCACCATGAGGCTCCTGATGCTCCCAGGCTGTGGGGATTATGTCCCTTTGCAAGACTTTTCTTACCCTGGCCTGGGCAGATGTCCCCTCTTCTTCTGGTTATTTTGGCAATGAACTTGGGGTTTGTGTGTGCTTTGTGCTGTGGTCAGCGTTCCCGGCACAAACCCTGCCGGCGTTTTGCTGGGATCACGCCTGTGCGTTCCTCAGGGCTGTGGGATGGGGGACTTGGGATGGGGGACACCAGCCCCCTGGCGTCCTCAGCACCGTCCCTGGACCTGGGCTTGTTTTGCTTTTTTCCTGGTGATTCCCAGTGAGATCACCCAGGCTTTGGGGTCGGCCAGGGCTCAGGGTGTGGCTGGGCGGGCTGGTACCTGGGCAGAACCAGGATGCACCCCGCAGCAGCAGCTCTCCAGCTAGCAGAGATTTGCTTTGTTTGGGGTTTTTTTGGAGCCTCCAGCCCTCTTGTTTTCTGAGCATCCTCAGCAGGGGCTGCTGGGGACACCACCGCCCCGGGGGGCAGTCCTGGGAAGGAGAGGGAGGGATGAAGTGGCGCGGGCAGGAGCTATGTCCCCGCTGGGACGGGACTAATGGCACCTCCTGGTCCTCTCGCTCCTCTGGCAGGGCTGGAGTACAGCGACGTGCTGCCCGACTCCTTCCCCTCGGCCCCGGCGGAGACCCTCCCTCACTTTCTGCTGGAGCCGCAGGACGCCTATATCGTGAAGAACAAGCCGGTGGAGCTCGTCTGCCGCGCCACACCCGCCACCCAGATCTACTTCAAGTGCAACGGGGAGTGGGTCAACCAGAACGACCACGTCACCAAGGAGAGCCTGGACGAGGTCACTGGTGAGCAAACCCACCTCTGCCTGCCCTTCCCCTCTCTCCTTCCCAGGCACTTCTGCCCTTTTCTGTCTTGCACATCCACGCTGGAGATGATTCTCCTCCAGGTAGACCAGCAGGTCCCTCCCATTCATCTTCATCATTCCCAGGTGACCGCAATCTCGTTGAGGTCGCTTTTGTACGGTTTCCACCTCCTCGGTCCATGCACAGCTTGTCCCTCTTCCCATCTCATCAGTGAATTTTGGTAGAGGAGCTGCCCCTTTCCAGCCCACTGATGAAGGCACGGTGATGGTACGGGTCACCACGCCCCACAGAAGCTTGGGGAGATCAGCCTATGTGCTTGCACACTCACCCTTTTGTGGGATTTGGGGCTGTTAAATGGGATTTGAAAGGCAGCGCCTTTAAAACTGATGTAGAAAAAAAAGGCAATGCCTTCCCAGAAAACGCCTCATCCACAGGTAGGAGTCAGTGGCGCGAGGGGTGGCAAAGGCCGGCACCTTACTCAGGTTCGCAAAGGAACTGGGTATTTAATGGGCAATGAGAACATTTGCAGGTAGGACTTGAACTGCTTTTTAATGGTAGATGAGCTCCCCCCTGCCTCAGAGGACAAGTCAGCCTCCGGCTGCCAGAAATGGGGGGCAAGGAGGTGGTTTAGGCATCTTGGGGGGTGTCTTGTTCCATGGGAATGGGCTCCGTAGAGCCACTCGCCCCGTGCTTTGAAACGTCCCGGCGTGAGAACAAGGCGCGGGGGGCTGATATATCAGGTAGATTTGCTAACACTGGGATGCTTTAGCTCAGCTCCCGTCTTTTCTGCACCAATTTCAGTACCTGAGGCCTGATCAGGAGGGGAGGAAAACAATCCCGTTTCCCATGTAAGATCTGTTCTCTGCAGAGCCCCTGAGCCTGCGGTATCCCTCACCTACGGAGGGCTTTAAGCCAGGGCAACCTTTTGAACGGCTGCAGCGTTGGACCCAGAGGCAAGCTCAGTTTAGAGGAGAGACTTTGTCAGCCTGGAGGAGCACAAGTACTTTTACAGAATCTTCTCCTGTCCTGATTTTTTCCCCAGCCTTGCCCTTCCCCAGCATCTCCTCGGCATCGTCCAGCGCTAGCCGTGAGCTGGTCCTTGCTTGGATGCCTCTCTGAACCTGTGCTGCAAAGGGAAGATCATCTCTTTTCCCCTCAGCCTTCTGAGCCTTTCCTCCTAAAGCCGCTTCATCTGTTCCTGGGGTGTTTTTCTTCCAGAGGCTCTCTCTGTGAAGGATGGTTGAAAACGCACGGCAAGGCTGTCCCCCTGCTTCGCCGTTCCTCTCCCTCCTTCGAGGTGCATCTCCACCTCCCAGCTCTCGTGGAGGCCAGATATGAAACCCCCACCGCTCTACGGCAAAGCCAGTGCTGATTAGTGACTGAGCAGCCTTTGCTTATGATTATAAATTATATTTATTTATAAAGTGTGGTCACGCTGGGTCGAGCCAAAGGTTCCTGTGTCCTGCATGTGGCAGTGGTGGGTGCCTAAGGGAAGAGCATTGAAGCGGGACAAGGCCGGGGCGATGGACCCCGCTCTGCTCCCTCCCACCTTCCTGCAGTCCGGGATTAGGGACTCCCTGGTCCGGCAGTGATACCTTCGCAGTGTGGTCCAGCCCTGGATGGATTCTCCTGCTGTTCATGTGTCTGAACACTGTTAGGACTCATTTCTCCTCCGGGTTGCCCCAGCGTGCCGTAGCAGGGAATTCCATGGCTTAGCCATGTGCAGTGTGAAAAAACCACTGTATTTCTGGCCGCACCTCCTGCTTGAGTACTCCTGACCAAATAACCTGCCTCACGCAAGTCCTGAGCAAAACAGGCTGGAGAAAACATAGCAGAAAGGCGTACCCTGTTTTAGGGGAGGACTCATTTGCTTTGGGCCAGCATCTCCCTTTCAGATCTCCGTCTGCAGATGCAGAACATGTGCCAGCAATTTGGGGAGCAACGGCGCACGCCGCCTTCACCCAGGCTGCAAAGATGCTATTGCTGCTACCAGCGAGCAAAGTGCTAATACCTTCGGTACGGAGGTGATGCCGTGCATGTAAAACTCTGCTGGCGTGGGTATATCTGCCCGGCAGCTACCTGGAGAAAGGCAGCTGGAACCAAAATGGTTTGCTCTGCTAAAAAAATCGGCGTTTGCAGCGCCTGCCATTCATAGGGAAAGCTGCTGCAAAGGGCACGGGGGAGAGCTGGCCACGAAGCGACGGGTTAGGTGTTCATGGCTTTTTAAGTATCCTTGGTTAAAAGCTTGGAAGAAGGGACCTTTAAAAGGAAAAAAAAAAAAAAAAAGAAAAAAAAGACGACGTGTCTTGAATGAGCCGGGTTGGGTAATGCTCTGACTGCGTCTGATCCAAAGCATTTCATGCGGAAGAAAGCAAAAATAGGCCAAGTCAGAGAGGATAATTCAGCCGGACGAAAAGGGACGGTCGGTAAGAGCGGCTGTGTTTAGGTGCCTGTAAGCTCTTTAAACCGTCCCTCCTGTGAGCCATAAGCTCAGCCTAAGGTTTTGGGTAGGCTTTGCTTTCGGGGGTCACGGCGATAGCAGGACATTTGCAGGATGCTCCCCGCCTTTCCAGGGCTGCTCCACTCACCCCACCGGGGCTTTCCAGAGGGACGAGATGCTTTTGCACCATCTCAGTCCTTCAGAGAGCCCTGCTGTTTCCCAAAGTGCTTGGGCTAAATGCCTTTTCTTTTCTTTTTTTTTTTTTTTTTTTTTTTTTTTCCCCCCCCCCCCCCCAAAAGTGGAAAAATAAATAAATTGTATTTCCTTGGTGCGCGCTTGCCAGCTCTTCCGCAGGAAGGTGGCAGAGAGACGGTAATTGCTCCCCGCAGCACTGGGAGCCAGCTAACAAAATTACAGGCGGGGAGCACGCGGTGCTCTATCGCCATGAACTTCAGGCCTTTTTATAAATAGAAGCTGCAAAAAAAAACAAAAAAAAAAAGAAAGGGCAGGTATAGCTGAAAATAAGGAAAAGTAAGCCCCGAGTCCCTCCCACCCTTGGCGATGAGCACGGGGCGAGGGGGTGATGCTCAGCATCTTGCGGCCCAGGGGACCGTGTCCCACGTGTGCGGGGGCCCCCCCTGCCATCGAGTCCCTGCCATGGCCAGGGTGTCCTGGCAGACTTCATGGAGGTGTTGGGGGGCGGGGGTTGATGGAGCTGTGTAACCCTTTTTGGGGTCGTTGGGCATGAAATGGCATCACCGTTGGGTAATTTCCTTAAGATCTTTTATTTGTCTTGTTGTATTTAAACGGCGGCTGACAGAGGTGGTTTCTTCCCTGCAGCGAAGCCTCAGAGGCATCCTTCAAACCTGGTGGGTGGGAAGGGGTCTGGGCAGGGATGGGGACATCGGTGCTGGGCAGAGGGGCTTGCGGAAGAGGGTGATGCCTCTTGAAATGGTCAAGAGGTCCTGGTATTGCCTAGCTGGATGGGGAGGGGTTAAAAAAAAAAAAGCCTCCTCCACATGAGCTGACTTTGCCTTCAAATCACCCTCTGGAGGGAGCAGTCTCCCTGATTTGCAGAGGTGCCAAACCTGGATGCCTCTGAGATGCCTCCAACCCACTGCCTTTGGGCACCCAGCCACATGACTCGAGCTTTGGGCACCCAGCCACCCAACTGGAGCTTTGGGCACCCAGCCGCCCGACTGGAGCTGTGGGCACCCAGCTGCCCGACTGGAGCTGTGGGCACCCAGCTGCCCTCTTCCTGGCTGCTGCCTTAGTTTCCCTCCTCCCAGGTGCTCCTGCCGAGCTGATGCCATCCCTCTCCCCTTCCAGGGATGCTGGTGCGGGAGGTGCAGATCGAGGTCTCCCGGCAGCAGGTGGAGGAACTCTTCGGCTTAGAAGATTACTGGTGCCAGTGCGTGGCCTGGAGCTCCGCAGGCACCACGAAGAGCCGCAGGGCGTACGTCCGCATAGCCTGTAAGTGCCCGGCACACGTTGCTCAGGCGCGACCCCTCCAGCAAGACTTGGCGTGCACCCACCTGCACTGCCTCCGTTCTTGTTCCGTTTAAATGAACACTGCTCCCACTTTCTTCTCCACTTTGGGGGCCCGAAAAGGTTTCCAGGAGGGTACAACCCACCGGTTTAGCAATTGTTTGCAAAGCCTGAGGTGCGACCCTGGATCCCAGGCAGAAAAAGCGGTGGCGTCAGGGTGGGTGTGCGCTGCTTCTGGCAGCAACACCAGCTGGAATAGCGGCCAGGCCGTTCATTCCCAGCTTGCCGAGACACGGTGGGTGCAGCCGAGTGGGGTGGGCCATCTCCAAAAGTTGGCTCCCTGCTGAAAATGGTGCTTTTTGATCAGCTGGAGGTGACCTGTCCGTGCTGGATGGCCCTGGTCTTAACTCCCCCATCCCAGCTCTGCGTCTGAGCTGGCACTGCCTGGGCGAGAGGCCGTGGCACTAGCTGGGTTAAATCCCGCATTGCCCATCAGCGTGCTCAGCTCTTCCCGGTGCTTTATTATCGCTAATAACCCAACGGTTAGCACCTTGCATGCTTTGCCTGAATCAGCGACTCCGTGTCCCTGGAGTCCCTGCTGTCATATGTCACTTCTCTAAGCTGCTGTTTGTGGGTGTCAGCCTGATTAACTCGCCCTTAATCAGGCTGTTACCCGGCTGAATTTGCTCTCTTAGCAAATGAGATGGCAAAGCTATAGGAGAACGACCAGGCTTCCCTAGTCGTCAACAGATTTTGCTATTAGAGGGCTAATAATCCAGCATGTTATCCAAAACGGAGGGGGCTGGGGAATCGGCTACGCTGCTGAAGGATTTAGGCAGAATGGGGAAAATATTATGAGGCACAGGGCTGGCTACTGAGGGAGCCCTTCTGTCCGTCCCTGGCCAAGGGTTCGGTGTTTCTTGGAGCCGAGCAGATGAGGTGAAGCAAGGGTTCGGTGCCCTGCGCAAGCCGGAGCCGCAGCCGTGGGGGGCTGGGTGCGCAGAGGATTGCAGCACCATCTAGTGATGGTCCTGCTCCTTTCAAGGCGCTGGAGCGGGACCCTGCCATGTCCCCCATGTCCCTGGCAGCTCTGCTGGGCTTCTCCCCCTTCCCCAAAATGCTGGCAAGCCCCTTGCCGAGCCAGTCTGGCTTTTCAGCAGCGGCTGTTCCCCATTTTGGCACTGGCGTGCAATGTCTGGTTTTCCAGCAACCCCGGGGACGTGGCTCAGCCAGGACTAACGGGGACAGAACTGAGCAACAACCCCCTGTAGCCCTGAAATTTGGGGATTTGCTTTGGCACTGATGCGGGAGCCAAGCTGTTGTGCAAATCTTCTATTTTTTCCCCCTTCAGCAAAGAAGGATCCTGGTATAGAGAGCCCAGAGGGGGGAAGAAACGGAGGTTAAGCTGAGGTTTAACCCCAAAGGTAAAAGATGGGAGGGGGTATAAGCTTGCAAGTGCACGAAGGAGGAAAGGCATCGTCCTCGAGCACCACGTGCTATCCCAAATCCATCCCGGCTCCTTCCTCTCAGGACGTGTTTTGCTCCGGCTGTGTCACGCCAGAGCGATTTCCCTCCTCCTGGGCTCCTGGTGCTGGGGTGATGCTCTCTCCCCCCACCAAGGTTTTGTGGGTTGTGCTGTTTCCACAGCAGACTGGTAACCCCTGGGTTCTTCCCCCCCCCCCCCCCCCAGACCTGCGGAAGAACTTTGACCAGGAGCCGCTGGGCAAGGAGGTCCCGCTGGAGCACGAGGTCCTGCTGCAGTGCCGCCCACCCGAGGGGGTGCCGCAGGCGGAGGTGAGCAGCTTGGCAGCCCAAAGAAATGCCCGCTGGGGTGTCCTCTCCCGGCGGTCTGCAGCCACGGCCAGGGAGAGGTGAGGCACATCCTTGCAGATGGCTTGCGGCCGTGATGGATGGCCTCGCACCGAGACCGTCAGCTTTCATTATTCAGCAGAATTGTTTATTTTCGGCAGCGGATCTGTTATTCTGACATCTAATAACACACCTAACCTCAGCTCCTGCTCAACCCACCTCTCCCTGCTTCCTGATATGCCATTAACCCCTTAGAGGGAAGGTCTAACGAGGAGGCACCCAATGACTTGTCTGAAGGGGAGCAGTCACAGGCAAGAGCCAAGGGCTGGCAAAGTCAACAGATGGGCTTCCCTAGCACGGTAGCCCCCAGGAGCTGAGCACTGGTGGTAGCCACAATGTCCCATCCTTGGCCAAAACAGCAGTAATGTGCCCCAGTCAGGCCTGGTTTGGCCCAGCTTTCAAGGAGAAATAAATACAGTCAGAGGCAAGATTGCCCAGGTTGTGGTGCTGAGGACGTCGGTGGTCTCAGGGATGAAGGTGGCGAGGGCTTTGGGGCAGGTCAGAGGCTGGTCTCGGTGGTGGGGGGGGTGGGTTTGCTCTCTGTCAGGGCTGTGAATTCAGTCCCTCCAACCTGATGTTTGTCCTTGCTCATGCCTGCACCCGTGCTTGGTGCCGGTATCGACTCACACCCTTCCCAAACAGCCTCCTTAAGCAGTTGTGTCCTGGGTTAGTTTTGGGGCCCCTGGAGACCCTCATGGTGGGGAGCACGTGGGATGGGCGTTGCTACCAAAATCCATGACGTGCTTTTCCTGGCTGAGTGTTCAGTTCTCATTCAGCTCAATCACTGTCCTTACCCATCCCTTCCTTTGCATTGCCAGGTGGAGTGGCTGAGGAACGAGGATGTCATCGATCCCACCCAGGACACCAACTTCCTGATCACCATCGATCACAACCTCATCATCAAGCAGGCCCGTCTCTTGGACACTGCTAATTACACCTGCATGGCCAAGAACATCGTGGCCAAGCGCCGGAGCACCACGGCTGCCGTTATCGTCTACGGTACCAGCCCTTCCTCATGGGGAGGGGGCCTTTGCTGCCGGCCATGTCTCCAAGCCAAGGGGAAATACGGGCGCTTTCTGGGAGTGGTAGGAGTGAACCCCACCAGGGCATTGCCTTAAATTAGGGATAATCCCCAATGGCTGCCAAAGAGAAACCTCTGCCAGCTCGCACAGGCTATTTGGAGAGGCTGTTAGGTGTGGGTATTCACAAGCCTTCTCGGTGGGGTATGAAGGTGGGTGGAGGTCAGACCCCGCTGGATCGCTTTGACTCTCAAAGCAGCTGAAAAGCTGCATTTGGCCCAATTTTGCTATGAAACCAAAGATCTGCTGGGGCCAGATGCAAAAAATTTGCAAAGTGGAAAAAGGACCAAAGCAGGCTTGGGCACCTGGTGCATGGGGTGTGCAACATGGGAAGGACTCCCGTGTTGACCCTCGCAGTTCCAGGGTGTCATGGAAGATGTAAGGACAGAGGACCTGGTGAACTGGCTTAGCTCCAGTCCCTGCTGAAACGGGCTCTGTTGACGTGTTAACACTGTCCGTCTCCTCTTGCAGTGAACGGTGGCTGGTCCACCTGGTCCGAGTGGTCTCCTTGCAACAACCGCTGTGGCCGGGGCTGGCAGAAGCGCACCCGGACGTGCACCAACCCTGCGCCGCTGAACGGCGGCTCCTTCTGCGATGGGCAGCCTTTCCAGAAAATCACCTGCACCACCCTCTGCCCAGGTAAGGCGGGTTCAGAAGCCTTGCCCACACTACCTGTCCCCCAGGTTGTGCAGTCCAACTGGTGCTCCTGGTGCTCCCTGAGGAGACAGGGGCTCAGGAGACCAGTCCGAAGCATCTTTCAGTCTGCCAAGACCTGAAAGAGCTGGAGATGCCTGCAGAGAGACAACTTACCCTCCCCAGATAGCATCAGGGCTGGGTTTGCTGGGGTAGCGCTCCCTGAAGGTCTCTGGAAGCCATGGGGTGGGCACCTTTCTGCTGCCGGAGACATCCTGGCATGGGGGGAATGTTTGGAGGGGTGTACCGACGCGCCTGTCTTTGGTGGCCCACAGTGGACGGCGCGTGGACCGAGTGGAGCAAGTGGTCGGCGTGCAGCACGGAATGCACCCGCTGGCGCAGCCGCGAGTGTGCCGCCCCGGCCCCCCGCAACGGCGGCAAGGACTGCAGCGG